ATGGAGTCTCCATTGCTTGAGACGGACTTATTTTTTTCCCTTTTCTTTTTCAGGGAAGTGGCTTGGCCTGAGCACTGTCTGAACTAGAGCGTCCAGGATACAAGACAGTTCGCCAAAGTCTGTTGCAGAGGAGAGGGCAGCATCAGTTTCCCATACAGTGAACTGGGACCTCCTGCTCTCCCTCTTTCCCATTTTAAGCACTAAAAGAAGGTTATATCTGATCAGGATAAAACAATGGAGGGTTGGGGCACCTGGGTGGCTCCGTTGATTCAGCACCTGCCTTCAGCTCAGGTCATGATCCCAGGGTCCTGAGATCGAGCCCCGCATTGGCCTCCCCGCTCAGCACTGAGTCGGCTTGGGGTTCTCTCTCCCTCTCCCTCTGCCCCTCCCACTCAATCTCTGTCTCTCTCAAATAAAAAAATAAAATCTTGGGCGCCTGGGTGGCTCAGTTGGTTGAGCGACTGCCTTCGGCTCAGGTCATGATCCTGGAGTCCCTGGATCGAGTCCCGCATCGGGCTCCCTGCTCAGCGGGGAGCCTGCTTCTCCCTCTGACCCTCCCCCCTCTCATGTGCTCTCTCTCTCTCTCTCTCATTCTCTCTGTCTCAAATAAATAAATAAAATCTTAAAAAAAAAATCTTAAAAAAAACACAAAAAAGTGATGTCAGTTTCCTGTACTGCCTTAGGAAATGACAGCAAACTGTGTGGTTTAAAATGACAAAATTTGGGGGGCCTGGGTGGCTCAGTCGTTAAGTGTCTGCCTTCAGCTCAGGTCATGATCCCAGGGTCCTGGGTTTGAGCCCCGCATCAGGCTCGGTGGGCAGCCTGCTTCTCCCTCTCCCACTCCCCCTGCTTGCGTTCCCTTTCTCGCTGTGTCTCTCTCTGTCAAATAAATAAATACAATCTTTAAAAATAAAATAAAATAAAATGATGAAATTTATTTTCTTACTCTCCTAGAGACTAGAAGTCTGAAGTCAAGATGTGGCAGGGCCATGCTCCTTCCAAAGTTTCTGGGGAGGATCCTTCCTTGCCTCCTCCTAGTCTCTTTTTTTTTTTTCTTTCTGATGTTAAGTAGGCCCCACACCCAACATGGGGCTTGAACTCAAGAGTCACATGCTCTACTCACTGAGCCATGCCCTGTCTCTTCTGAGTTTCCGATGGTGGCTTGCAATTCTCGGCATTTCTTGGCTCATAGACATGTTGCTCTAATCTCTGCTTCCAGATTCACATGGCCTTCTCTCTGCATGTGTCTGTGTATCTCTTCTTACAAGGACACCAGGCAGGGCCTACCCCCATCTAGTATGACCTCATCTTGAATTAATTAATTGTATCTGCCAAGACACTATTTCCCAAATAAGGCCACCTTCTCAGGTTTTGGGTGGATGCAAATTCTGGAGACTTTATTCAACCCAGTACAACTGCCCATCATTTGTATATATTCATCTTCACTAGTTGCAAATTACTTCTCATCATGGCTCTGAGGTCCTCTGAAATCTAGAGCCATGGACAATTTATTGTATTCTAATTGTAGGATTTATTATTTATCTCCCCAGTTATTATCATTATTTTTTAATTGAAGTGTAGTTGACATACCGTCATATATTAGTTTCAGGTGTTCAACAATTCTATACATTACTCTCTGCTCTCCATGATAAGTGTAGTTACCTCTGTCAACATACAATGTTATTACAATGTTATTGACTATATTCCCAATGCTGTACTTTTCATCCCCATAACTTATTTTATAACTGGAAGCCTGTACCTCTTAATCTCCTTCATCTGTTTTGCCCATCTGCCCAATCTCCTTCCCTCTGGCAACCACCACTTTGTTCTCTGTATTTATGATTCTGTTTCTGTTTTTTGTTTGTTCATTTGTTTTGCTTTTTAGATTCCACATATAAGTGAAATCATATTGCATTTGTCTTTCTCTATCTGACTTATTTCACTTAGCAGAATATCATCTAGGTCCATCCATGTTGTCCCAAATGGCAAGATCTCATTTTTCTTTATAGCTGAGTAATATTCCAGTGTGTGTATGTGTCTGTGTGTATCTCACAACTTCTTTATCCATTCATCCGTTGATGGACACTTAGGTTGCTTCCATAACTTGGTTATTGTAAAAAGTCTTGCAATAAGCATAAGGGTACATATATCTTTGAGAATTAGGGTTTTCATTTTCTTTGAGTAAATACCCAGTAGTGGAATTACTGGATCATATGGTAGTTCTATTTTTAATTTTTTGAGGAAACTTCTCACTGTTTTGCACAGTGGTTGCACCAATTTACTTTCCCATTAACAGAGTACAAGGGTTTCCTTTTCTCCTCCATATTCTCACCAACACTTGTTCTTTGTTATCTTTTGGTTAGTAGCTATTCTGACAGGTGTAAGGTGGTATCTCATTGTGGTTTTGATTTGCTTCTCCCAGATGATGAGTGATGTTAAGCATCTTTTCATGTGTCTGTTGGCCATTTGTTTGTCTTTGGAAAAATGCCTATTCAGGTCCTCTGCCCAATCTTAATCAGATTTTTTGTTTCACCAGTGTTGAGTTGTGTAAATTATTTATATATTTTGGATATTAGCTGTCTAGGATTTATTCTTGAATAGACAAAACTATGTGATAAAGTGAGCCTGTCTTGTGCAAACAACCAATTACAGTGAGTCTTGAGATGTACCATCTATAATTCTGCCTCCTCTGAGCATCTAAAATAGCTTTTTAAAAAATTATTTATTTATTTAGAGCATGAGCGGGGAGGGAGGGGCAAAGGGAGAGGGAGAAAGAATCTCAGGCAGGCTCCATACCCAGCGTGGACCCCAATGCAGGGCTTGAACTCACGACCCTGAGATCATGACCTGAGCCGAAATCAGGAGTCCAATGCTTAGCTGACTGAGCCACTCAGGTGCCCTTAAAATAGCTTTATAGACACCCACCAAGTTAGTGTTGGAAGGCTTAGTTATCATTGTATCTAGCTCAGACTGCAATCTAGTTCAGCCCTGACTGATCACCTTCATGCTGGAAGGAGACCATCACCTCCTGAGGCAGCTTCTTCCCTCTTAGACCAAAGGGATGGATGCAAATGTCTTCCTTTCAGGAGCTGAGTTCTGCCTCCTCAAGCCCAGCTGTTCTTCCTTCTCATTAGTCTTCAACGGGACAGCCAAGGGAATGGTCGGCCCCCATCATATCTTGACTTCCTTTAAAAACATCCCTATCCTGCCACCCTTTCCACAGTGTGTGGCAGGTTTTCACGGTGGTACCAGGACCAAAATGTAGTTTTCTATATATGATCTGACACAGGCCCTGGACCCTTAGGGTCTCCTTTTCCTTTTTTTTTTTTTCAAATTTTTATTTTGAAATAATTTAAAACTGATAAAGAAGTTGTAAGAATCATACAAAGAACTCTTTTATGTCTTTAACCCAGGTGAATCGGTTGGCACTTGGTGTTTCTCTAGAAAACAGGGTGGGCCAATGTCAAGCCCTTGGAGGGCTCAGCAGGTGGTCCTCATGGCCTGCACAGTGGGATTCGGAGAATGCAGGTGGAGGTCACCTACTTTCTAGGAGACGGGTTGCACACTATTACCACAGGCTGAATTTGACGTCAAATACACTCTCTAGCTCATTTTCAATTCCTGCCTTCTCTGTGGCACTCAGCCACGAGAAACCTCAATTCAATGAATTACCCCTGGTGAGGATATCTCGTTTGTGTTAGCCCACCACCGCTCGTCAAAGTCTTGTTGAATGTCTCATTTAACACACTCATTGCTCATCTCAGCTTTGTCTTGATGTATGAAAGGAATGGCTCCCAGAACTTAATTCTGTTTGTTAATTCCTTATGCAGTGTGAAGTCATTAACTATTTGCTTTTTTGGCCACAATTCCTTCTTAAAAAAAAAAAAGGATTTTTATTTATTTAAGAGAGAGAGAGAGAGCAAGTCGGGGGAGGAAGAGGGACCAGCAGACTCCCTGCTGAGTGTGGAGCCTGATTGGGGCGGTGGGGGATAAGGGGGGCTCGATCCTACGACACCGAGGCCATGACCTGAGCGGAAATCAAGAGTCAGATGCTTAACCGACTGAGCCACCCAGGCACCCCGGCCACAATTCCTTCTAATTATATTATTGCTTAGGCTATATTTCCTTTTCTTTTTCACATGGCTGTCACAAAATCATTGTTACGTTCCTTGACTGGCATCTGTAATTATGGGTCTTCTTCCAAACAAGGATCTTATCATCAAATGTTGAAAAACAATCTGTGCTATATTCCCCCTCTGGGAAAAGGCACTGTCCGTGTTAGCATGCGATATGCTCTGAAAAGTCCTGCAATAATAATATGTGGTCAGGGCACCTGGGTGGCTCAGTTGGTTAAGCGACTGCCTTCGGCTCAGGTCATGATCCTGGAGTCCCGGGATTGAGTCCCGCATCGGGCTCCCTGCTCAGCAGGGAGTCTGCTTCTCCCTCTGACCCTCCTCCCTCTCATGCTCTCTGTCTCTCATTCTCTCTCTCTAAAATAAATAAATAAAATCTTAAAAAAAAAATAATATGTGGTCAAATTAATTTTGTTTAACTGAGGGCTTCCCCAATTCCTTGATAATCAATCTCCTTTTTATGGTCACCCTTTTGAGGAACCCTAGTGTTATGGGCAACACCGTGAAGGAGAAGCTGGTCTGTAAGATTTCACTAATTTGCCATACGAGTCACTCAGCCCATAGAAAGAAATGAGGCCACATTGACAGTGTTCAAAACCATCCATTCAATAATTAGTTCTAGATATTAACCTTTTTTTCTGGTGAATCAGACTGAATGGTTAGAATCTTGCTTTTTTCCCTCTTTCTGAAAAGGTGGTAATTCTTTGCCCGGGCCTGCTCTGTTGGCATCTTCTCGTTCACTGTGATTTCCTCAGTCTCACTACCAAGAGATGGGTCACGTTGCAAATTCTGTTAGCCTGGGAGGTGGTGCGCAAGTCCAGACCCTGGAGGGGTCTCTGGGTAACTTATCTTTTTTTTTTTTTAAAGATTTTATTTATTTATTCATGAGAGACAGAGAAAGAGAAGCAGAGGGAGAAGCAGGCTCCCAAGGAGCAGGGAGCCCGATGCGGGACTCGATTCCAGGACCCTGGGATCATGACCTGAGCCGAAGGCAGACGCTTAACCGTCTGAGCCACCCAGGCACCCGGTAACTTATCTTGGTAACTCACATTTCTCGGTCCAGTGCAGTATGTACAGTAGGCTCTTAATACACGGCCTTCCTTCCAGGCCTGTGCAAGGAAGAGACGGGAGCTTGCCAAGTATTCCCGGCAAAGTCTGTAAACACCAGTGAGTTGTGTGGATGCATCCAGGCCACATGTTATTTTTCCCGACCGTCTGCATTCGTATTCTCCGGCTGCCGCAGCCCAGGCCCACAGACGGGGCAGCTCTAACAGACAGCTGTGTCTTCACCTGGCCTTTTCTTTGCACATCCGTGGTGTGTCGTCTCCTTACGAGGACACCAGGCATATCGGCTTTGGGTCCACCCATATGACCTCATTTAAACTCAGTCACTTCTTTAAATGCCCCATCTCCAAATACAGTCACATTCTGGGGTACTGGAGGTTAGAGCTTCAACATAGGAATTTTGGGGTAGACATGATCCAGCTTATAACACTCTCTATGTCCACCCCCCATTTTATTCCTCTTTCAAATCATTTGTACTTCAGTCAGAATTCTGTATCTTAGGAGTCCCTATTCTACTTAAATCACTAGAATCCCTGATCTTGAAATCATCCCTCTTTATCTAAAGAGCTGTCTGCTTTCCTGAAGCCTTGAGTACGTGCCCAGTTGTCCTGTGTCCATCTTTTCCTGCTGTGAACTCCAACATAAACATGTGACATGGGGTGAGTCCTGGACGGCCCTGTGCCTCAGTTGCCTCATCTGCAAATACGGGGGTGGGGAGGGGTGGGGGTGGAGGATGGGGGTGGTAAAATGGTGCCACAGCACAGAGGGGTGGGGGTGTAGAGGTGCAGGGGTGTGGGAGGACTTAGAACAGTGCCAGGCACAAAAGTGAGCCCTTAACATACGTTAGAGATTCTTGTAATTATATATTATTTTTTTTATCATTAACATGCATTGTCATTGTTATGTTCTACTGAAAGTCCAGGCCATGGAACGTATTATGAGACAAAATCTGACCCAAAAGAATTCACTTCAAAGATCTCGTGAATATAGATTGTCATCACTTAACTGATAAATGCAAAGTTGTTAGTTTTTACTTCAGTAAGAAAACACCTTAAAAAACGATATATATCAGATGTTATTTTATGCACTTCCCACATTTAATCTGTAATTGTCTTCAAGATAGGCATCCTTTTCACCACCTTCCATGGCACAAGTTAGAAAACTAGAGTGGAGAGATGTTAAGCATTTTGCTAAGGTCGCTCAGCTAGTAATGACAGAGTGAGAATTGGAACACAGACCAGGCTGCTTCTAGAGCAAAGGTCACTTCCCCATTTGTACGAGTTTCCCACGGTTGCTTTAACAAGGAAACCTCTTTTAGGATGGAGTCAGGAGGCCAGCAGAGGGAGCTCCCATGGCCAGCACCTGTCCCCCATTGCAGACCCAGCAGGAAGACAGGTACCTTGCAAGTTAATACTACTTTCTCTCTCAGCAGGAGGAGGAAGGTTGTCTCCGCCCACCAGCAACAGCCCAGCCAATGAGAGAAGTCACAGCTCAGCCAATGAGAGACAGTCACAGCTCAGCCAATGAAAAGCCATATACTTCCAGCTCCCAGTTTACTCCAATGGGCTTTTTTGTTTATAATAGCCCCTCCCAACTCCCTCCCTTCTCTATAAAAGAGGGTCCTCTCATGTATTTTCCAGACTTACCTGTGGTTTTGTTGTAGCTTACCTGTGCCGGTTTGCAATTTTCTGCTCTCCCGAATAAACCCCTCTTTTACTGGTAAAATAACCGGCAGTTTTATTTTTAAGGTTAACACAAAGTATCACAAACTGTGTGGCTTAAAATAATAGAATATTATTCTGTCACAGTCCTGGAAGCCAAAAGTCCAAAATCAGTACCACGGAGCCAAAATCAAGGTGTGAGCAAGGCTGCACTCCCTCCAGAGGCTGTAGGAGAGAGTGTGTTTATTCCAGCTTCTGGTGGTTCCAGACATTCCTTGACTTACAGCCACATTGATCCAATCTCCGCCTCTGTGGTCACATGGCCTCCTCCTTTTCTGTCTATATAACTCCCTCTGCAACTCTTATAAGGCCATTTGTAAGGGCATTTAGGGCCCACTACAATAATCCAAGGTAATGCCTTTATCTCAAGACCCTAAACTTAATCCCATCTGCAAAGACCTTTTTTTTTTCCTTTCCCAAATAAAACCACATTAAAAGTTTCCAGGGATTAGGACCTGGATATCTTTTGGGGTTGAGGGGGGAGGGCATTTTTTAGCCTACTACATTATTCCCACCTTACTGCCTGATTAATTCCATGGTGTAATTAATGCATGATGCTTTTGTGGACCAAGGGGAGAAGCATGGCCTCCATGATGGCCCAGTCATAAAAAGGCTGAATGGTGCAGAAATCATAGACTGTAGGAAAGCCAGTTGTAAATGTTTTAGAATAAATTGAGGCCGCCATTGAGGCATAGTGATCAGGAAGAGGTCCTAAGAATTGAAATTCTGACTATATAGTAACATGTAAAGATGAAAGAGGAGAGTCATAAATAAATGTTTACCCATTAAGGTTTTTTGAGCCCAGACTCAAAGAGGATCCATGCTAAAGATTCTAAGTGGGCACACAGCCAAAGGCAATTGTTTAGAGTGGCTAGAACCTTCTAACAAGAATGTTAATGGAGATTACAGCACCAGACTGAGCCAAGAGTCTCCTATGAGCTCTTGAGAAGCAAGAAGAGCAAAGGGGCAAGCCCATTGTTCTGGGTAGAAGGTGTATTGTAAGTGGAAACCCAACAGTAAGCAGAACTATTCACCTGCTATTTCTGTTTTTGGCTCACCATCACAGAGACTATCAGACGGGAAAGGACAGATGGGACTACGTGCTTTCAGGCAAGTCAAAGCCAGAGATGGGTGTTGCAAGGGGGCTATTGGAATGAGCCCCCGTCTGAGGCTAGAAGACTTTGCAGACCAGCCTGCAGAGCCCGCCCCTGTGATTCATCTGAGAAATGTGGGGGTGAAGGGGCTCCTGGAGAAGGGCCAGGGGGGTGAGGACAAAGAAAACCCAAGAAACTGATCAGGGTCCTCACATCATTAAATTCTCTGGTGTGATGCATAATGCAGAGAATCCATTAACCATGGCCCAGAGAATAATTTTGAGTTTAGGGAGACTTGCTGGAGATGGAGACTTTGAGTTGAGAAAACACTCATGAGATTTATCCAATACTGATATATTGAGCCAGCTCACCAGAGGGCCACTCTTGTCTTTCAGTGTTTATCCTCTGCCCTTTTCAAAGAGAATCAAGAGTGTATATCTCTTGAACCCACTGAATTCAATTTTGGGGAACTCCCTCCTGCTCTTCCCCCCTCCCTTATTTCTAGAAGCCCGCCTGGACACAGATCCTCTTGCGTACCCCTCCACCCATCGCTTTTCCCCTAAATGAGGCCAATGAAGACAAAGAGCCCATGAAGGGAAACCCTGACAACTCTGGACTGGCCAAAGGGTTGGCAACAGAACTTCTAAGAGGGAAAAGAAATAATTAAGGAAGTGGTAACAAGGCATTAGCTTGGGAAGGGGGAGCAAATAAATGTAAAGCTTTACCAAGAAATGTTTCTCCATCTTACAGTGCTGTCAAGGTCGTTAATGGACTGAGGAAGATGGGCCTCAAAACATAAAGAACTTGAAATTGGCAGAAGTCCCATCAGACATCTGTTAGCACCTGTTAAAAAGAAAACAATAGGCCCCAGATGGTGTCACTTTGACTGAGTTTCCAAATTGGGGCTTAATACCCGATCAAATTGCTGTTTCAACCTTCCCTAGAAATGTAGTCTTAACTGGCCAGGAATTTTTCTATCAGGACCAAGAAGTCTGCCACAAGGGCCCTCTCCACCCCGCAAAGGGAGATGAGGTCATCTGCATGGTAAGCCCTCTTGCTTCTCCCCCAGAGGGAAATCCTTGCCTGGAACAATCCTGTTTGTCTGCCAATAACTTTCTTTTTTTTTTTTTTAAAGATTTTATTTATTTATTTGAGACAGAGAGAATGAGAGACAGAGAGCATGAGAGGGAGGAGGGTCAGAGGGAGAAGCAGACTCCCTGCCGAGCAGGGAGCCCGATGCGGGACTCGATCCAGGGACTCCAGGATCATGACCTGAGCCGAAGGCAGTCGCTTAACCAACTGAGCCACCCAGGCGCCCCGCCAATAACTTTCTTGTCCCCACCCTCCTTCTGCAAAAACCTGCCTTTTTGTGCAACTCCTCTTCTTGCTAGATGGGAAGCTGCCTGATTCACGAATCATTTAATAAAGCCAATTCGATCTTTGAAATTTACTCAGTTGAATTTTTGTTATTTAACACAGCTTTGTGGTTCCAAGTGCTGGGGAGACAAGGGTGAGGCCAGAATATGGTCCTGCTGCTCTAATAATTAACAGTGGGGACAGACGCTGTGGAGATGTTACCAAACTAACGTGAGTTCACTCCTTAGTGAGTCACAGGTGGAGACTACACCGGCCAGAGTCATCACACAAAGCACACTTAATCTTCAGCAAGTAGGGAGATCATGGGGAATCACTTCCACAGCTGTGACTCCCTGAGTAAGGGTGAGTGGGTTTCTTTTATTTGGGGTTAGGATGAATATTCAGAAAGGGGGGGTTTGTCATTGTATATAAAAGCAGGCATAAAGTTGCACAGGTGTGCTTAGAAAACATGCCTAGGCATGCATCCTGTGTTATGTGAATGAAGCTTATGCTCCTTTTTGGGTGGGGATTCTAACATTATGATGAGGTGGAGGTAACTGAGACACTCCCCGGTCCATCTGCGCAGGTGTGAGGCAGTGGTCGAGCTCAACACGGTGGGACGCCGGAGCTCTTGTTTGCCTCTCAAAGATGAGGTTACCATTCCTGTGAAGAAGGGGAAGGCGGTCAGTGGGGGCCTTGCTGGCGACAGGTTTAACCTCATTATCGCTATGAGGCATGGTTTCATAAAGACTGTTAGGAAGTACGAAACTGCTTTGGAAAACACTCTGGCAGTTCATCAAACAGCTAAACAGAAAATTATCATATGACCCAGCAATTCCGCTCCTAGGCGTCTACCCAAGAGTACTGAAAACACGTGTCCACACAAGAACCTGTGCACAAATGTTCACAGTGGCTTTATTCATGGGGGTCAAAAAGTGGAAGTGACCCCAATGTTCACCAGCTGGTGGATGGGGGGGATAAGCACCATGTGGTCTATCCATACAATGGAATGATGACCAAGCAGTAAACAGCAATAAAGACAAATGAAGTGTGTCTACACACTGTGTAGCATGGATGACTCTTGGGAACGTTCTGTTAAGTGGAAGAAGCCAGTCACAGGGCGCCTGGGTGGCTCAGTCAGTTGAGCGTCTGACTTCGGCTCAGGTCATGATCTCAGGGTCCTGGGATCGAGCCCCATGTAAAGGTTCTGTGCTCAGTGTGGAGTCTGCTTGTCCCTCTCCCTCTGCCCGTCGCCCCGCCCCTGTTGTCTCTGTCTCAAATAAATAAATAAAATCTTAAAAAAAAAAAAGAAAAAGAAAGAAGCCAGCCACAAAGGACCACATGCTGTATGGATTCCACTTATATTATATGTCCAGAATAGGCAAATCCACTGACACCTCAAGCAGATTAGTCATTAGGGAGGGACTGCTAATGGGTAGGTGGCCTCTTTCTGGGGAGATGAAAATGTTCTGCAAGTGAAGAGTGGTGACAGCTGACCAAATACACTGAAAATGTTTTCATTGTCCGCTTCAAATGGGTACATTGTGTGGTGTCTGAATTACATCTCAAGAAAGCTGTTATTGTTATTAGTTTTTAAAGTATTGAAATTGCAGTTTACACAGGATGCTGGGCAGGACCAGAGAGGGCCACCAACTCCCTTGAGGGTTCATGTAGCACTTCCTGTATTTTTTGCACTGATATTAGTATTGCATGTCTATGTGGCTTCCTGGAGGCCCTCCTGGCTCGTGATCAGCCACAAAAGCATCCTCCAGTTTCAAATTGGAACCATCCAGATATGAGCATTCCCTGGTTTTATTTGGCAAATGCAATCTGTTGTCATTTTTTAAGACTGCATTTCCTAGCCATGAGTTCTACGTGGAATTTCTGGAAGGCTAGAAAAAGAAAGGGAAAATAGTGATTTTTGTTTAACTTAAGGTCTCTTCCACAGTTATTTGATCCAGCTCTCTGTTTGTTTCTTCCTCACCTTTTGGTGAGAATGAGAGTCTGAGAAATGAGATGTGATTTCCCATGACGGAAGCCGCAAGCAGATGCCTAGTGATGGTGGTAGTCTCAGGAGCCCATCTTGGCAGGAACCAGAAGAGCCAATCTTTGAGGAAAACAACAGACCTGGGGGCACAGCAACCCTTTAATTCTCACATCTGCCTCTAAGGATAATCAGAGCATTCAACAAGAACTGAGAAAATTTGACCCAACACTGGATTTAGAAACTCCTTGATGCTGGGCTTCTCTTAATAGCCAGCCACCTATTTTAAAAGCTCATTCTTGAAAATACTCCATGAGTGGTCCTTGGACTCCAAGATGGCTTTTAACATGAAAACAGAGTTTGCCATTGAGGGGGTGATTCCCAAAGGGCTCTTCCACTGCCGACTAGATTAGAGGCTACATTTTAGCAATGAGAAACCAAAATATTAAGAATGGGGACTAGATAGAGATGCTGTAACATTCTGAGTCACTTCTGATGTTCAGTTGGATCTGAAAAGCAACTTCAACTCAATTTGAAAGTAGTCAGGATAACCTTACAGAATAGAACCCTTTTTTCTTTTACCTGGAAATTTTTCATTGGATTTGTTTCTCTCTTTCATGTGTTTTATGGTGTTTTGTGAACTTATTGAACCCGAGCAGAATCTGCTCTGTTTAATCTGCACATGTTTATGACTCTTGATATCATCTGCATATGTCATGGTGGCATATTCAAGAAGGCTTCAGTTTACCATTTTGCATTAGCCATTGATTCAATAGGCATTTCTTAGTACTAGGCTCTGTGACAGGTGCTGGCTCAGGGAAAAGGGTAGCAGCACCCAGAACTGCTTCCCAGATGACCTGTGGTGAGCACATCAGAAGCCTGAAGCAGTGCTGGGGGAGGGGGGAGGTGTCGGCCATGGAAATATTTTCCAGAGATGCTCACAACCCCGGATGACCTCTGACCTTCCTAGAAAAGCACAGCGTGGTGGGTGGACCATGTTAGCTGGGTATTAAAAGCAAGAGTGCTCCCTTTGAAGGCTAGAGAACAGGACGACATAGGGAGTGCAGTTAACAGGTACTCAGAAGCTACTGTTAAGTAACAAAAAAGCTCAACCAAGTAAGTTTGAAGATCTCACTTGCTTTATTCAGTAATTTGTGAATGTTGCGGCATCCCATCTATCAAGTAGAAGGGTGCTCTGAGGAGTTGTACTAAACGGAAGGATTTTATGGAAGGAAGGTGGGGCAAGAAAATTATTAGCAAGAGCAAAAGACTATTCCAGGCAAGGCTTTCCCTGCAGGGGGAAGGGCAAGGGGTCTTTTTTTTTTTTTTTAAGATTTTATTTATTTATTTGAGACAGAGAGAATGAGAGACAGAGAGCATGAGAGGGAGGAGGGTCAGAGGGAGAAGCAGACTCCCTGCCGAGCAGGGAGCCCGATGCGGGACTCGATCCCAGGACTCCAGGATCATGACCTGAGCCGAAGGCAGTCGCTTAACCAACTGAGCCACCCAGGCGCCCCAGGGCAAGGGGTCTTATCAAGCAGATGATCTCATCTTCCTTTGGGGGACACAGGGAGTCCCTGTGGCAGACTCCTTGGCACTGATGGAAAAACTCCTGACCAGTTAAGATGACATTTCTGGGGGTGGTTGAAGCTGCAATTAGATCACGTATCAAGCCCCAGTTTGGGGACTTGGCCTCAGAGATGCCATTTTGGGCCCATGGTTTTCCTTTGAACAGTAGCATAAATGCTCTAAAGAGAGCAGCGGTTCTCCATTTTGGTTGCACACTGGAAAAACCTGGGGGAGATTTACAAGAGTGATGCCTGAATCCCTCCCCCAGAGAGCTGGAATTAAGGGTCAGGGCAAGGCCGGGGCATTGGCATTCTAAAGTTCCCCAGGTGGCTGCCATGGGCAGCCACAGATGTGAGAGATGAAACAGAATGCCTTGGAGGCTAAGGGCAGCAGGGCAGGAGACCCATGAGGACGGGTAGTGAGTTCCTCTCCCATAGGACTGGACTCCCATAAAGAGCCAGCAAGGTGGAGGAGGGAAGTTCGCTCAGCTGGCTGCCCTCGGGGAGGACCTTTCATGTTTCTGCCACAACGTCTTAGTGGTGGCCCACAAGATGATCTGCTGAATCCCCTCTGGTCTCAGGAGTCTTGGACATTTTCCACATAAGTGGGGTTCTTCCCTCCTTCATGGCTGCAAAGTCTACAGCCTCAGCGGCCAGTTGCCCACATCCTCCTCAATATGGCCGGGCTCCAGACATTCGACAAGGCAGCAGAATCCACCCCGACTCTCTCTCGTCACGGATCCGGGATGAACTCCTTTTGTTACACGGTTTCAGAGGTTCCCGCTGAAGGTTCAACTGCAAAGAATAAGCGAGATAATAGATCACAAAGCCTGGCACACAGCACAAAGTTAATACATGATAATGTTGTCAATATTATTACTTAATTAGAAAGAAAAAAATGGGGCGCCTGGGTGGCTCAGTCGGTTAAGTGTCTGCCTTCGGCTCAGCGTGATCTCAGGGTCCTGGGATAGAGCCCCACATCGGGCTCCCTGCTCAGCGGGGAGTCTGCTTCTCCCTCTCCCTTTGCCCCTCCCCACCGCTCATACTCTCTCTCTCAAATAAATAAACAAAATCTTAAAAAAAAAAAAAAGAAGTTTCAAGTACATTTGAAAGGAAGACACCCCAAACGGCTCCATCATGTAGAAAAAGGGATTTGGACACATCTGGGGAGAAAAGCCTCTGAATGCTAAAGCAGACAAAGCAAGAATGCAAATAAGAACGAATCAACTGGACAGTTAGATAGGACAAGGGTTGGTTGCCCCACGTCCTCGCCAGCATCCTTGTGGTGTGGTGTGGATGCCGTTAATCCTACTGTTTTCGTATGGCTCCGCAGATCAGCCCTGAAGTCTCTGCAGGGACTCAGGCTCAGCCCGTCCCACTCACCACCCATGTGGACACTCTGCATACTGGGGTGTGGTGTTCTCGATTTCTTCCCTGTTTGGGGGCCACCTCTCAGCCCAGGCAGCATCCCTCAAAGAAGTCCCCCAACAGCATCCTCCCTGGCAAGGGGCAGTGGAAATGTTACCTATTAGACAGGAAGATATTGGGACAGAACCATTTATAAAGCTAAAGCAGCAAAACAAATGGAAAATGACTGCACAGATTTTTTCCTGAGACAAAAGCCCATTATCAGCACATGTTGAGAAAATCCTGGGTATTTTGAACACATGGAAATCGAAAAGTGTTGGAATGATGACTATTTGTAAGCATTTGTATATTTATTACAATTGTCCCCAACTATGTATTGTGAAAACTTTTTTTTTTTTAAAGATTTTATTTATTTATTTGAGAGAGAGAGACACAGCGAGAGAGGGAA